ATTCTGCTTGTTTAAAACTAGCACCAATGACTATTTTCCTACATAGCTTTCTAAGTAGATACTATGCCGATGAGTTGATGAGTAACCCCTCAGTTTGCACTGAATATAAAGAAAGTGCTTTCTTTTTCAGGAATTCTTTGCCAGGTGTGTTAGCATTTACCTCCTAAGCTATAGGTCCAAATCTAAAGGTTCGGCTTCCCACAAGATAACATGCGTACAACAAAATAAATGTAATAGAAGAATGAAATGAAGAACCAGAGCCAGAGAAGATGTAAACACAGCACGATCAAACCAGAAACAAATAATTAGGTATGTCTGTAAGAATCCTTGCCGGGCTTCAAATTTGACTCAGTTTCTTGGCCACCAAAGCAAAAAAGTTGTATAATCATCATTAGCAGAAACAATCAAATTGCTTTTCCTCTCTATGTTCTAGAGCAGTGGTTCTCACAGCATCAGTATCACCCGAGAAGCTTTTTAAAAATGCGAATACAAAAAAAATTTTTTTAATAAATAAAATTAATTAATTAAAATTTCAATTTAAAAAGGGCACCTGGGTGGCACAGTCAGTTAAGTATCCAACTCTTGCTTTCGGTTCAGGTCATGATCCCAGGGTTGTGAGATCGAGTCCTGCTTCAGGCCCCGCCCCGGGCCTGGAGCCTGCTTAGGATTCTCTCTTGCCCTCTGCCCCTCCCCCCTCTCTAAAATTAAATAAATAGATAAATAAAATTAAAAATAAAAATGCAAATACTCAGGCCACACCCCAGGCCTCCGCACTTGAACACTGTGGGCCAGGGCCCAGCACTCTGGGTTTTAAGAAGCCCTTGTGGTGCTTCCTAGGTGGCCGAAGTTTGAGAACCACTGTTCTCACAAAATAGGATTTTATATAAAGGGCAGTGAGCATGTTCCTACAGCAAATATGGGGAATTCAAGCAACAGCTCAATAAAAGCTGCAAACATAAAACCAAACTATAATTCAGCAAGGGAGCAAAGACAATATGCAAGAGAGCTAAGATAGCATAGACCAGGCACCTGGCTTTGGTGATCCCTCTTTGCTGAGTCAAGGATTGACCCCAACATATTCCACACTATACCAGTTTTAAAACACTTAGCAAAAGGCCACATGCAATAGTTCTGGATGTTCGTGGGCAGCTCAAATTTGGAATGTATTCCTTCTGTCCCTTTCCCCCATTATCTGAGGTTGAAATCCTGAAACCATCTTTGATACCTATATCTCCCCATTATCCCCATATCAGTTGCCACATCCTATAGACACAACCTCTCCTTCCTCAATAATTCATTCATCAAATATTGATTATCTATAAGGTGGTATAAATTCATCAGGGAACATGGTAGACACAATATCCTTGCCTTCATGGGGCTTACTTTCTCACTGTGGAGACAACAATAAGATAAGTAAAATATATGGTATGTTAGACAGTGATATACTAAGGAGAAAAATAGAGGAGGGCAGGAGGTACAATGCTTTGGAGAGGGGCACCTGGGTGGCTCAGTTGGTTAAGTGTCTGCCTTCAGCTCAAGTTACGATCCCGGGGTCCTGGGATCGAGCCCTGCAACGGGCTCCCTGCTCATCTCAGAGTTAACTATTTTATTTAGTTAAGATTATAAACATATTGCAGTCTAACACAGACAAAAGTCTAACAGAGAAAAATCTGTTATATTTTATGCTAACTAATAATGCTAAGCAGCTAAAAGATTAAAAGTGGATACAAAAATAAAATGTTTCTTATGATTAACGGCCACCAAAAGTTTTCTATTTAGGAAGATATCCAGCTAAATTTGGAAGACTTTTAAAACGCTGGACCTCAAACCTCAGGAAAAGTGATCCAGTTAAATATTTTAAGTGTTTATTTTTATTGGTAAGATTTGATGCGATCAATGCTAATCTCTTTATGGAAAGGTGAATCAGACACACTAAAAATTCTACCTTCTCCTTTGTGGTGTTTTAAAACAGTCTTACTCTTGCATAATTTATAACAAGAATCTAGAAACACTGAGTCAGATTTTCCCAATGTCTATCATTAAAATGTGGAGGCGGAGAGTGGATTTGTATGGCCCAAATCATTTTTTTAAGGAAGTATGAGTTATTAACTTAGATATCCTGCCACCTTCTCTCTGAAGAAGCTAATACTGGTATCCAAATTCCAAATATGAAAAAAAGAGGAAAAAAGAATCTGAGAATCAAACTCAGATTTAATTCAAAATGAAATCTTAGCAACCATTCTTTATTTCAAGGCCTTAATGATGAATCTCAGTTTTATAATAAAAAATTATATCAACAGTTGAATGACTCCCAGAGATTTAATTTGTCCTTTTGAAAACCAGATTAAATATTAGACTGTCATTTCCTATAGGTGATAGGTATTATATAATCTGGAGGAAATCAGTAAGTGCAAGATAAATATGAATTAATTTTAAATATTCTAATTGAATATTATTTCTACATCATCAACATCATTTGAATCATTTTTAGCGAAACATTTGCACTATAGACTCTCATTAAAACAGGCTTCTTTTCTAACAGGAGAAAGTGGCTCTTGAAAGTCCAGTCTAGATACAATTAGAGAATTCAGTGCAAGTGAAAGTAAAAAATGAACCAGCTCTGTGTCCTAATCAGGAGATTTAGAGGCAGAAGTGAGATCAGTCATCACAATGAAGGCACAGAATGATAAAGCTGAGAATATATCAGAAACACTGACAGGAAAATCAGACAGGAAACAGACTTTATAGACCAACTACCCATCACTGCTAACAGACTCCTCTTATTCTTTCCTTTAAAAGAAAATAACCTAATCTATCATATTGAGCACAGAAAAGATGGAGAAGAGAAATCCCTAGCAGTACAAGATGATATACAATAAAATAGTATATAGATTCAATTTGGAAAAACAATCTTAAAATTCCATGACAGCTTTTGAACCCACATGCCTAAGTGTGCTTCCTCCCAGAAGTAGGTCCTGAGTCAAAGATTCAAGTCCACGCAGTTTATTTGGGAGGCTCAGAAAACGCTGCTCAGGGAGTGCGAACGTGATGCACAGGAAGCAAAAGCAGCCTACAAGGGATGTAGAAATAGAACTCAGAACTGTCTCACCCATCAAATGGGGAAGCTAGGGTGTTCATCAGCCAGTGGTTAAGACTGTTGTGTGTGGGGGTGGGGGAGTGTTAATTCCTTGGCACTTGATGCCAGCCTTGAGCAGGAGCCAAGAGGTTTCCCAGCCCAGAAAGAAAACCTTCGGGCAAAAGGAGACCTTCAGGTGAGGAAGACCTACAGTTCTTCAGGCAGGTACCAGTGGTCAGCAGGCCTCCGCCCCTAAGACAGTAAGGTCCCAGAGGTAGACAGGGCATTAACATCATTGTCTACACTTTATCCTCCAAAGGAACGCCATTCCCATCTATGGTCATATCTGTGATTGGTGTTTGATATCAGTCTTCTCTTCCTTTTCTCAACTATCCAACAGGGCATATATTTCACATTCAAGCCATCTACCCCTAAGCTATAAAGTATACAATTTTAGCTTACCTAGGTCTGTATTTCTCTCCTTGAGTCTACTTTATATTCTTCATAAATTAAGACTCTAAGTCTACTCCTGTATTGTAAATTCTTTAATGTCAATCTTGCTCTTAATCGAGTTGTAAAAAAAAAATTACTCCTTTGGTAATAGACTTTATGATCCATAAGACATCCAAGAAAAATGGTGGTCCATGTGGTAAGAGCTCAGGTCACACTAGCATCCAAGGAATCCTTGATGGTATTATAGCAGAAGTAATGTTTGCAGTTCCAAAAGTACACATTGTCACAAAACAATGGGTAGGGGAGGGCGAGTAGGGGAAGCAGATCTAAAACTTAATTGGGAAAGAACATTTTCAAAGAAAAGTGACTTCACTTGCTCTAAACAAATATAGTCTTAAAAGTAGTCCAATCTAACCATTATTTTTCTTTGGCTGCAGGGACAGTTCCATAATATATTAGTAACTTCCTTCTAGGCCTGAAAGTTTCCTCTTTGGCTTCAGTGTTTATATAGTCAAAGTGAGATGATAATGTGCCTAGGTAAATTTTACCTAAAACGACCTTGACTGATGCAAGTACTTGATAAATATTATGCTTCATAATTTCAAAAAAAAATCAATTCAGGGAATTTAGGAAATAGGCTGAAATTAATGGGAGTGTAGCACTACCCAACAGATACACTGAACACTGAACAAATATTGCCTGGTTAAAATTAAATTGTTTAGGTTTGAGAATGCCTAACCTAGTTTTGATAAAGTTCTTGTTTTTAAGACAAATAAAAATGAAAAAATAGACAAATACACATCACTGAAACTATCTGGACATTTAGAGGCCAATTTCTTGGCTACTCTTCTCTATGAACACTTACAAGCATCTGACAGAGCCACTGTTGAATGAGATTGCTGTCTAGTGGTAGGTTTTATATTTGGGTAAGGATCTGGCCACTCTACCAAACCCACCATGCCCTTGAAACAAACCATTCATCATAGAACGCAGTATTTTAAAACTCAGACATCTCTCATTACAGTAAATGACATATTTAAAATCTGTATCTTTAGGATCTCAATCAGTGCTTCTCAAACAATCTGTGATGAAGAACCATTTTTAAATTAATATTTCCAGTCTATCACGTACTGATACTTTTGCAAAATATATTAAAAATGAATTAAGAAAATGAGTTTTTTTAAATGTACAAAATGGAAGCCCAGTTTATTATTATTATTATTATTATTATTATTATTAGATTCAATAGGCATAAAATTACTGTCAAATTTCTTTAAAAGTTTCTCAAGGCTTACTCAAAATTTCAGTACTTATCTTGTCACAGGCCAGTAACAGTTGCTGGGGCAGAACTGACCTGGGTCCACACTTTGAGTAGCACTGATCTAAAATAACCGTGTGCAAAAAAAAAATAAAAACAAAACAAAATAAAATAAAATGTTGGGCACGTATTCACTCAAAATATATACTTTACCTCTGACATTCTTTCCAAATCCCAAAGAAGAAACTTTTTTGTCCACTTGTTCACTATTGTTTGACTTCTCCTTCATAACGTCATCATCACTAACAATATCAGCAGAAAATTTTTTCTTTTTCTTTTTCTTGTGTCGAGGAGGAAGCTTTTTTGGAAAAGTAAACATTGGGAATATCACAAGAAACATTGCAACGGCACAAAGGAGGAATCCACTCCACCTAAAAAATTGGGAAATGTGAATAGCATTTATGGCTCTTGCATTATGAATGAGAACAAATTAGCAAAGTAGAAGCTCATGGTAATAAAATTCTGCAGGGAAAACTTCTGTAAAGCAAAACAATTGTAAAGCAGTAGGAAGTTGGACAAACTAAGAAAACATAGGACTCCTCCCTATGTTATAAATGAGAAATCTGCCTGATAATCATACTAGTATTATAATGAATATTATAATTAGCAACCAGATTAGAATTTTATTGAAATATTTGTTAGCTCTGCTATAATGTGCATTTCATAATAAATCAAAAAATAAAAAATAAAATAAATAAATAACTCATAAATATAATAGAAAAATAATATAGACTCTATAGCATGCTTTATGGACCAAAATAGACACATCTTTCTTAAAAGAAAACCATTCATATCTCATGTGGAATGTATTTTAAATTGCTAATGGCATTCAAATATTTTTCTGCAAGCACTTAAGAATATATTGACCCTCTTAGCTAGCCCTTACAACACTTAACTGTGAGGGCCACCAAAGACATTTATATTTGATTGTTGCCTTCAAGAACTTACAACCTACTGGTAAGGGAGCTAAAAATACAAGAAACAATCTCCAAGAAATGCAAGCATGTATACAATTAAGTGTCAGATGATGTGGTACAGACTATGAATGCTATAAAAGCTCAGATAAAGGAAATGTGTGTCAGAAAGCTTCCTAGGAGAAGCAGACCGTGAGCTATGTTGAACTGAGAGTCTGTCTTTGAACTCATCTGAGGTTGCCAAGCTGCAGAGACTAAGAAGTAAATATAGAGAATAGTACTCAAATTCTAGTCTGGCATTAGAGCCATGTGTTAAGGCCTTGGGCTTCTTGTCTGCATAATTCCTCAAGGGCAATCTCTCAGTCCCCTTTCAATCCTTTCTTAGCAAGTAGAGGCCCCTGATCCTACAGAACAGGGTTGCCACTTTCTTACTAGGACTCCTCAGCTCTAATCTTTGTCCTTCAAGCTTGCAAATTCTTGATGCTCAGACTCTGTCCTCTGTCTCAGCACATTCGCATCAGCTGTAACCTGAACGCAAGCAGCATTCTAAGCATCAATGTTGAATTCAACCCATTAGGAATACAGATCAATTGCAAAGTGAAAATTCATTTTTAAAAAGATAGTGCTTCTATTAAAGTACTGTTATCAGCTGTTAAAAGTCACAGTTTCACTGACAGAATAATTCCATGAACCAGTTATTAATAATCCAGTATGCTATTTTCAAAGATACTTAGAGTTATATCAAATAAAGATTTTTAAACAATTGGAAAAAAAAGGCTTTATTTTGAGAAGATTGCTCAGGGCAGACTTCTAGCAATTTCAATTATTCAGTATAACCTAGAACCCAGTGACTGACATACTCAAAAAATTTCCTGAATAAATAAACTGAATGAGATAGATTTTTTTTTTTAAATTCTTTAAATGTCTGCAGAGAACATAGCTATGATCATATCTGGCCCCTGTAGGACCTGGCTGCTTATGAGGCCTTTACTAATAAACTGCCCCTGCTTATCTGCCACCTTTGAATCTCTTTCTACAATTCTGCCTTCAAGCCCCTTGGACTCCTTCAGTTCCAAAAGCAGAACAGGACAAACAGTGCAATATAAGGGACAGTTCTTGAGCTGTGGTTTCAGACAAATGTGGTTTTTTTGTCTTGTCTTTATGACCTACTGGCTCTAAGATCCTGGGGAAATTATTTCACTTTCCCAAACCAACCTTCTCATCTGAAGGGGGAATAATGCTAACTGCTTTTTGGAGTCATCAAAATTAATAAGACAATGTATATAATGGACCTGAAAAAATGCCTGCCCCCAAATCAACAATCACTTCATGGTAGCTAGTTTTGTTTTTGTTTTTTTGTAGCTCTGTACTCAGGTCCTCCCCACACCTCCACTCAGAGCCATCAACTTAAAATTATATGCAAACATTAAAGATACACTTACAGTAGTTCACAGTAAGAGCAAATAACAGAAGGAGGGGAAGAATTAGAGCAAATAAACAAAAATAATATAAAAATAGTATAAAAGTTTGGGGGTTTTTCAAAGCTGAGCAAACTGGCCCACATTCTTCAGTGGTCTTCAGTAGCATTGACAAAATGCATGATATAATGATGAGGCCAAAAAAGACCCCGAGAGAAGCTGAGGAAGGCAGAAAAGTGCATATTAGGGGTGCCTGGGTGGCTCAGTCGGTTAAGCATCTGCCTTCAGCTCAGGTCATGGTCCCCGGGTCCTGGGATCAAGTCCCGCATCGGGCTCCCCACTCAGCGGGGAGTCTGCTTCTCCCTCTGCCCTGCCCCCACCCCCAGTCTTGTGAGCTCTCTCTCACTTTCTCTTAAATAAATAAATAAAATCTTTAAAAAAAAAAAAAGAAAGAAAGAAAAGAAAGTGTGAGTTATATGTTAGGAAAAGACCCATCAGTAAGAGCTAAAATTGAAAAACCAGGGTCCCTAAGTCCCTTTTACAAACCACCCCTCAGAGATTATTCATAAAGTAGGGCCAGTTAAGTATATTGACTAAGAGATTTGCCCTGTACTCAGTTTTTTATCCCAGCTCTCACTGCCTCTGAGGCTTTGGGCAAGTTATTCAAATCACAGGGCACCAATTTCCTCAGCTGTAAAATGGGCATAATATTAGTGAGTACATATGGTTGTTATATATGTAGGCTTAAACATATGAAGTTCAAACAAAAATGTTTGTGAAGCTCTTAGTAGAATGCTTAACACACAGTAAGCACCCAATAAACATTAGCATTATTCATTTCTTCATTCCTTTCTTCAATCTTTCAGCACATGTTTATTGAAAAATCCATCATTACTGCTAGGCATTGGATTAAATAGCATTGTATCAAATAACTCTGTCTTTGGTAAAGGTAGAAGTCTGTTACAAACAGAGCTACTCAATAAATAAAATTCAATTTTTAATATTGGACCATTAAAACAGATAAAAGTTCCTGAACATAGATTAAATTCAAAGGACTTAATAATAGCTAACACATACTAGATAGCAAGAACTATTTAAAGCCCCACGTATATAGACTCATTTATTCCTCACAACAACCCTATGAAGTAGATACTGTAATTACTTCCATTTTATAGATTCTTTTAAAACCAACAACTGAGGCACAGAGAAGTTAAGTAACTTCCCCCAGGGTCACACAGCTATTAGGTGGCAGACAGAGATTTAAACCCTGGACGGTATGGCTTTGGGGTCTGTACTCTTAATTACCCTACTTTGCAACCAATTAGATAGATGTCTAGAAAACTTTTAAAAGTCAGCATAAAGTACTTGTAAGCCTAAAAGCTCCTGTCTCCTTCCTTCTCCCTGCCCCCAAGTTGGTCCTCCTCTCCTTTCTCCCTCCCTCTAGATGTTCCCTTATTGCCATGCTCTTTTCATGGACACCTATATAGAACACAGAATGTACACTGAATGTTCATATACATATTGTCTTTTCTACTGTCTTGTCTAATCTTCTTTTCTGAGAATAAAAAAATCCTTACTCTTATTTACTTCAGAACTGCAAAGAAAACAGTGGTTGAGGCCAAAAATTTCACTAGTGGTCAAGAACTTAAAATTCCTGTGTTATTCCCCTAATGCTGACAAGGAAACTTCCTTTTTTACGATTTGAAAATTCTACCAGCCCAGGTTCATCTAAATCTTAGCACATCCATCTTCAAAGAGCATTACTTATGAAAATAAGCGTTATATAACTTGATTAATATTTCTTAACTGCTTTGAAAATAGATAGCGTTAAGCATTATTCCCATGTACTTCAGAGTTATGAGATTATCTTATAATGAAATGCAGAGATAACACAAGTTATCTAAGAAACTTTTAGAAACTCCTTCTAAAGTAATTAGTGGAAACTAATTTCTAATAGTGAACTATTCCCTTGGTATAAAATGAACATCTCTTATCAATGTATACCTATTACTAATCCATGTTAAATGAATTCAGGAAGCCAATACTTTTCAGTTAGTGCTTGCTATCATGAAGAAATAACTCATGTTCAAGTTGAGGATTATGAAGAACTGAAACACAGCCCTGGCTATGCGGATAAATAACCTAACATCCAAAGTTGGAGTTCTCATTCTAAGTCCGAAAAATTACTTATTTAGCAAGACAATTAAGGGCTAGCAAGTGAGAGAACAGCTAAATCTACAGCACTCCATTGGAAAAACAATTACCAAGTGAAAAGATTCACTAAGAGTGTGACGATGGAAAAAAGGCGGGGAGGGACTGGAGTTTTGGGCAGTCAGGGAGGGTTGACAAAGCAGAAATGCTAATCTAATAAGGACGTGGGAAGAAAATATTTTTTAAAAGGCACAGAAAAGATAATGAAAGCTAGGACTCGAGCACACAGGAAAGCCCCAACACAGCCACCCTCTCCTCCCCCACTCTGCTATTTATAGCAAAAAGCGCCTCAACCCTAAAGAAGGTGGATTAAGCCGATGCTCCCAAGCCCTCAGCATTAGTCCCCCGTTGCTGCTATAACAAACTACCCCACACTTAGGGGCTTAAAACAACACAAATGTGTTATCTTATAGCTCTGGAGGTCAGAAATCTCAAGTGGGTTGGCAAGGTTGCATTCCTTCCGGAGGCTCTAGGGAAGAACCTATTTTCTTGGGTTTCCTAGATTCTAGAGTCCCGAGTGTGTTCCTTGGTTCATAATACCTTCCTCCATCCCCAAAGTATGTCACTTCAACCTCTGCTTCAATCACCATATCTCTTTCTTACTCTGACCCTCCAGCCTCCCTCTTTCCCTAATAGGGACGCTTGTGATTATACGGGGCCCATTCCTGTCCGACATCAGGAAAACCTTCCTATCTCAAGATCCTTAACTTAAACACATCTGCAAAGTCTCTTCTGCCATGTAAGCCAACACATCCGTAGGTTCTGGAGCTTAGGACATGGATATCTCTGGGGGATTACTATTCTGCCTTCCACTCCCTTCTAGGCAACTTTTAGCTGTTTTTCATATTCCCATGGGGGAAATTTTTATTTTAACTACAAGGGTACTACGACTTGAACTATCATTAATAACAAACGAAATGAAAAATGTAGTAAACAATTCTTACCAGTTTCCAATGAAACGAGGGTCATTCTGGTCAAGGTTAACAGGATTTCTGGGATCGACATAAAAACCAATAAGAAGTCCACCTAATAAATATCCCACTGCAGGACCAAGTGCTCCCATGACATACATGATGGCTGAGAAGACACAAGGGGAAACGTGAAATAGAGAAACATGGTCCTTAAGTTTCAAGTGTGGTCTAATTTCAGTCATACCACGTATATATGTCACAGTGAAACCCAGGGAACAGCATCCAAAACCAAAGAACTTTAGAGATGTGTCTATATTTACATTTGGGTTTCAAATCATGCCCTTTATTCAGCTGCTGCCTATTGTCCTTTTAGAACATTAGAATCATGTCTGGACAGCTTTTCAGTTGTTGTTGTTGTTGTTGTTGTTTTAAAGATTTTATTTATTTATTTGACAGAGAGAGACACAGCCAGAGAGAGAACACAAGCAGGGGGAGTGGGAGAGGGAGAAGCAGGCTTCCCGCCGAGCAGGGAGCCCGATGTGGGACTCGATCCCAGGACCCTGGGACCATGACCTGAGCCAAAGGCAGACGCTTAACGACTGAGCTACCCACGTGCTCCAACTTTTGTTTTTTAATAGAAGTGCTCAGGTCCCACCCCAGACCCACTAATTTAAATTTCTGAAAGTGCTAGTTAATGAGCAGTCACTGGATAACCCAGAGAAGATAAAAGGTCATTTCAAGATTAAAAAATAAATAAATAAAAGGTCATCTCAAGATAAGAAGAAAACGAAAAAAAAGTAGATGTCACTTGTCACAGCTGGAAGATTCCAACAGAATGACGGAACTCAAGGCCAGGTTCTGCCATGAAGCTGGATTTAATCAAGTTGGCAAAGATGCTTAAGCACCTCAAATCATGAATATTTTTCAAATCACCACTTTAGAGTCAAAGAAGAGCTCACAATGCATTTGGTTTATTGCTAATTGAGGAATCTTACATAAAGATTAATAAATCTCCTTAAATGGCATCAGTGAAAAGATCCAGATAGCACCAACCCACAGCTGCATTAGAAAATAATTTTTTAAAGCACATGACCAAAGCAGGAGGGGAAGGGGTTGTATCAATAGATCAGAAAGTGTGTCATTCTATCCAAAAAAAAAAAAAAATTGGCCATCAAAATGGGCTTATAGCAAAAAATAACAATAAATTCATTGTCATTCCTTTATACTATTTTCACTGCTGTGATTTCAAATAAAAAAATAATTTGTCAAATCTTAATTTTGAGGTAGGATATGAAATTCCTTGAAAGTCATAGAAAAATCTGGAGTGTGGCTAACACTCCAAATCCACTTTTTTTTTTCCTGTTATTTGGAGAAAAATCTATAAACACTGTTAAGATGCTCCTGTGTTCAAGGCATGATAAACTCAGGTATAACATATTTCTCATTTCTACTGCCATCATGCACTTAAACCACTGAATAAATACCTGGTTTGCCATACCCTTTAAATAGTACTATATTTACCAAAAAGCAAATTGAACTAATCAGAATAACTTCACCTTACTTTATCTTCTGCACCTAAATAAACTTTGAATAAACTTGTACCTCCTGTGACTTATAACTACAGACAGTAATTTAACACTTGCTCTCACTTTTCACACTATTTCAAAAGAGAAAGCGCACCGTTTATTTATTTTACAGAATCATCTGCTTGTAACAATAAGACACTAGCTGCTCCGACTTCTCCATCTGTGTTTGGAAATGGAGAATGGGAGGAAGCATAGCCACAAGTAATTGCTGGCATTCTTTTGGAAGCACGCTTTCTGGCATTCTTTTGGAAGCATGCTCTTAATAAAATAAAATCAGAGTTTTGATAAATATCTCGTTAACCTCTCTGTTTATAGCCTGAAACAGAACTCAAGAAGAAACAGTGCTTTTTCAGTTCCAGGTTTTCCCATATGCATATGGAGATAAAATTTATGTTTACACCTCCAGGTAAACCAGCACCATTTACAACTTAAAACTGTAATGAGGCCAAAATGTGACATGAATCATCTTCCCAAAATAGTTCTGGCATGAAAGAGACTGTCTTACAAACACAGACAGGGAAAAGGGTACTTCCGCCATACTGTTTATGCCTGGGGTACTTGAGGGCAGTGTCTCGGAAGGCTCAGCAGCAGCGTGCAGCATGGGTATTGGCAAGACCTCGCAATTACACAGTGAATGGAAAACCAGTTAAGTCACACTCACCCAAAGACCTTAACTACTTTTTTTTTTTTTTTTTTTTAAAGAAAGGCAGACTGCCACGTGCAGCGCCTCATTTGGATGTGTCTGGAGTCTTGGAAGCTTGACTACCCTACGTTCTCCTACAAATGGACCTTGAGAGAGCTTGTTTGGAGGTTCTAGCAGGGGAGCGCAGCTACTCGTATACCCTTGACCGAAGAACGGTCCTCCTCTATCGGGGAAGGTCGTCCTCTTCGACCGAGCGCGCAGCTTCGGGAGGGACACACATGGAGCGGTGAGGGAGGAAGGGGACACCCGCCTAGCCAGCCAGATCAGCCGAATCAACCCTGGCGATCAATGGGGTGACAGATGTCGCAGCCAGATCGCCCTCACATCCTTAACTACTTTATAAAATACAGAGAAAGCTTTTAAAATGCAGCTATGCAATCAGAAGAAAAATATTTGTAATATATAGCAAACACTGAGGCCAACTGAATCATTCTCATAAATAGGTGTGTACATACATTTATATAACTGTACACTGACGTTATACTATGTAACTATACTACATATGCTATATCTACAAATCAGTAAGTATGTAACACTAGAGATGGAGATAGAGAATAACTCGTTGACATGGTCCCATTTAGTAAATAAATCATTGTGGCCACTGAGCTAACATTTATTAATTGATTAACCAATGGCACTCATTCAGAGCTTAACAGAGGGGCAAATTGTTGATGCAAATTCATATCCTCACTCTCCCAGTCCAAAACTCCCAATCACACACACACACACACACACACACTGCCTAAAGAAAGTCTAAACTACTCTATCTGGAGTTCAAGGGTGGGACAAGTTGGCCTCCTGCCACCATTTCTTTTTTTTTTTTTTTTTCCATTTTAATCTTAAAACCTACCGCCTGCACTCACGACTCCACACAGACTGACTCTCAAAACAGGCCTGGGCCGAGCCACCTCCCTTCCCTTGAGGACCCACAGTGCCCCCAGGCCTTCCTATCTGTGTGAATCCTGCCCCTTCTTCAAGGCCCAACCAAGTCCAGCACTACCCATCCTCCCCTGAGTGGTCTCTGTCTCTTCAGAATCCCTGTAGACGACATATTGTCTATTCCAGTGGCCTGCACACCTTTACATCATACATCCCTATCAGTAAAAGGATTTAAACATTTACCCAGTGTCCTTTTCTGTATAAATAATGTATATTTCCCACCAGCCTCATTCTCACAGCTCACACCTAATATGTCAGTAAATCCTGCTGGTTCTACCACCAAATCATAACCAATATGCCCCTCCCTCTCCATGCCTCTACCTTGGCCCAAGCCACCAAGGTCAATCATCTGGAAAATTGCTCCAGGCCTTCCAACCGGTATCCCTGCTTCTGCCCTTCCTTCCCTACAATGCATTTTCAACTGGACAGCCCTAACAATCTCTAGAAACATGAGCCACATCATGTCACTTCTTGGTTCACACCCTCCAGTGGCTTCCCACCTCCCTCGCAATAAAAGCCCAAATCCTTTTATGTGGCTACAAGGACCTGCCCCCACACTAGCCCCACCCCCTAGGATCTCTCGGCTCTGTCTCCTAACCTTCTCCTGGTTCACCCAGCTCCAGTCAAACTGACCTTCTCCCTCTTCCTCACCCTGCCAGGCACATTCCCACCTGACGGTGTTAGCACTTGCTCTGTGTGGGTGTGGGTGTGGTTGTGTAATGCTCTTCCCCCAGGTAGCCTCATGGTGCACTCCCTTCCTTCCTCCAGGTAGTTAATCAAATAGTCCCTTCTCACTGAGGCCTTACTTGGCCATCCTATCTAAAAATTTAAAACTTTTTCCCCAATTCTTCCCACTCTTTCTCTGCTTTCTTTTTTTCTCCTCAGCGCACCCAACACACTCTATATTTCCTTCGTTCATCTTGTGTATCACCTGTCCTCCTCAACAAGAACATGAGTTCCAGGAGGGCAGGGATCTTGCCAGTGGTGTTCACTGACGAAGTAGTGTAGAACTAGGCACTCGACCCACCTCGCTCCCATTATCCATTACCTTCAGCACTCCCAGTCAGTCCCGGAACGTGCTGCCGTTATTAACAACAGGTATCAGTGATAAAAGTTGTCTTCAGTGTATATCAGCTCTGGAGATATTAGCTAATCACTATCGAGTGGATAGTTTCATGTTTTCTGACCGTGTGCCATCAGAACGGAGTACACTGCATTGGTTTTCTGTCATGACGAGGAGTTTACACTGGGAAGTCCAGGCTATCCAATGAACTAGCGATAGAAATAGAACTAGAAGTTCCAAGTTTCAAGAGTGGCCTAATTCCAGTCATACCACATATATATGTCACAGTTAAACCCAGTTAACAGCATCCAAAAACAAAGAACTTTAGAGATTGTATCTGTATTTATATTTGGGATTCAAATCATGCCCTTTATTTAGCCACTGCTGCTGTCTTTTAAGAACATCAGACTCATCTGGAGAATTTTCCTCTTGCACCCCAAAGGACCGTCCTACATCTCCCCTGGATTGTACCCAATTCAGCTTCATACCCCTTTCAGAGAACCCTGGACCATTTCATTCATTTGAAATTGAGTATGCCTTGCTCTTCACTTCTACTTCTTCTTCAAATGTTTATATCTTATCTTTCAAAGTAGCTCTTTATCCTGGACAGCAGGAGCCATATCAGATACAGTACTATGCAGTGGTTAAATCCCAGACTACAAATTTCTGGGTTCGAATCCCTGCTTCCATTATGCATATAAAGTGCTTAGCATATAACAAACATGAAGAAATATTAACTTGCATTTTTTATATGTTGAATGATCACCTATTCATTCTCTAACAAGTATTATTAAGTATTAATTTTGTATAGGCCAAATACATGCATTATTTAACAGAAGGCATACTTATCTTTATATTACCTTAATAAATTATCT